TGGTTTCATTTTATTCTGGCAACTTCTTTTCAAAGTCATTTCACGAAAAGAAGACATGGAAGTTATTTTCACTTTCTTCTGTCCTTCTTTTAGTTTTGCTTGATTTCTAAAACTCAGTTCAGTATAATTTTGTATCTAGAAGATACACAAGACCTGATAGAATGAAATAAAGTGCTAATGAATGAGGGGAAAAAAAAAAGTACGAGTTTGCTTCTGAGATCTGACTTTTTATATTAATATTTCTTTTCAATTTTTTTTGTTTTAACAGGTTGCAACTTTTTTTTTGTTTTCTAGTAGCCTGCTACTTTAAGGCATAGATTTCTACCTTCAGGAGATAGTTTGAAAAGAGCATTTAAAAATACTTCCTCTGCCAAACGGAAAAATACTGTTCCAAGCAAATGTTATGGAGAACATAATTGTACACAGTGATTTTCCAGAGTCCCTAAAATAGAAACTTTCAGTCTTGATGTGAAGCGAAATTCTCCACCCAGATTTTGTTTATACTGTGTGAAAGCCTGGTCCTGACTGTATTGTACAGTGCAAAAAAAAAAAAAAACCAAAACAAAAACCAAAAAAAAAACCAAACAAAAACCAGATATATTCATCAGCTGGATGAGCTTATTCCTTAAGAAGTTGCGTGTAATAATTTTAACTGATACTGCCATGTTCTGTTCACTGTTTTGATGACCAAACCATAAATTTGGCTATAAACAACAGAAAAGTTTAAACTGAAATGGCAGACAGATATTGCAGTATTGAAGCCTGCTGGAACCTGTATTTGGAAATGCCACCCCTCTAAGTTAAAGGCAAAGCTGAGGAATGGATGAAGGGAATCCGAAGTCTTTAGTGGAAATTTTTGGTGTTGTTGCTTGGGTCTTCAGGAAACATAATGCAAAAAAACCTCTACTGTAACGCCATCAGACCGCAAGATTAGGCTCTATTCAGTACACATGGGAACATACGCTTCAGCATTTGGAAGAATTGAGCTCTTATCTAAATTGGTAAGCTTAAGGTTCAGTTTCTTGCATAGCAGCAGTAATTCCCCCGAAGAGCACAAATGCCTTTTTGATAGTGAATTACGGTGTTGCGTTACATTGCCAGTTACGTACACAGTGCTGGTTTGTTTCTTGGTTTGAATTGACCTTACTAAGATTGCAGAGCCACGTACTTAAAAGTTAAGGAATGTAAGAACTAAGGTGACTTCAGAGTTCTAATTCATTCCTGGGCATGAATTTTTCAAATCTTTAATTGCATGATCTCATCTGTCTGTGATCCTCACAAAGCCAGAGCTTACTTAGTAGCTCAGAAAGAAGGGGGCTCACTTTACGGGAGCAGCTCTTCAATATTATCGGGTAGAGTGGCCCCTGTCTTTAAGTGCTGCATAATAGATGAACCCTGTTCTGAAGAAAAAAGGATATTATGTTTTTGGTACTCATTGCTCTCTTATTGGAGTGCTTCATAAAGAAATGTATGAACTCAATTTCACAGCAAGCCATGTCAATTTGGGGAAAGGGAGTGTTGCCATTACTTTACCAGTGGGTGGGCAAACTGTAGAGGTATCAAAATGAAAATGGTCTGCCCGTTTTTGAGTGCATAATGTCTGAAGCTTTATACATAGCTCTTGATATGCTTAATATAGAGCTCTTGTTGGCTTTGATTGCAGTGGTGGTATTTCTTCAGCAGTGAAGACACAGAGTTCAGACTGCAATCAAATGAGTAGCGTGCAATTACTCTGTGAAGAGTTTTGACTTGAGCATTTTGCACAGCTTCCCGCAAGGCAAAGAAACAAATCATGTTTCTCAGCATTTTACTTCTTTCACTCTGTTTTGATGGTGATATCACAGTAAGCAGTTCCTGCACCCTCTTACCATCGCTTGCTTGCTTTCATCATCAGATAGTTCTGCTACTTGAGGGAAATGTGTGATTGCACAGGGAGACCAATCTAAGTGCCAGTTCTTGCTGTTTAATCACGCTGCAGTGGTGGGGCGAAAGCTGCGTCAGCTAGATCAGCTGTTTGATAGAGTTTGTAGTCTGGCTGCACGAACAGTTGCATTGGCATAATGGAAAGGCCAGCAGCAAGTTTTGGATTTGGGAGGGTGGGAACTGCCTGAAGCAAATTTGGAAACAATTTAAGAAGAACTGCTGCCAAACACGCAGCCTCAGCCGAATTTCTGTTCCTCTCTCCCGCTCCTCTCTGCCGTCCCCACATCAGTCACTTTCTGTCTGCTGCAAGGAATGAGGCAGGGGTCCTAAGACATGAGAACGAGCTCCTAGTGATAAGCGTTGTGACACAAGCCTCTTGTACCCTTAGATCACATCCTGGGCATGTTTTGAAATAATAGCCTTATGGGAAAGGTGGGAGCAAGTCACTCCAGTGCTGGCATTGAGCCCTGGTTCCAGTTTCTTGTCCAGCAATTTTCAGTCTCCCTTTCCTTTAGTTGCTAGTTTTATCTCCTTGTCACTCACCTCTCAGCCCTTCATCCCTCCTTACCCAGCCTGGTGGTTCCTCATTCTGCTGTTTCCCACCTGTAGCCTTTTTGAAAGAGTTGCTCTTGGGAGAGGGGCTGTGTACGTTTTGTCTGCAGTGGTGATGGCTTTCTCCATCTCAAAACGTGTTTGGCAAGGAAGGACTCTGATCTGTAGTTGCTGTGCTCTCTGTCAGCTACTGGGCAGGTGCAAATGGAGGGTGTTTTCAAGGCCTCTTAGCTCAGCCACCTTTGGGTAGGTTTTCACACAGATGGAAAAAACATGTTGAAATGTAAAGGGACTCCTTTCTCTGGCACATTTCAAGCCCTTCTTCCAGAAGTGAAGATAAGAGGACCAGAATTCAACATAGGAAGAAAATAGATGGTTTTGCCAACTTTAGTCTTGAAAACAGCTGATCTACTTTGGGTTTGGGTTGGGGTTTTTTGTGTGGGTTTTTTAATTTTTATTTCCCGGAGAAAACTTCATCCTAATAAAGAATTGCAGCTTATGCTATCTTGTGTTCTAAGGAGTTCTCTGGCAAATTTTTGTAAGGAAGCGAAAGATGAGTTACTATGATAAGAAGTACGAGGCAACTTTAATAGTAGGAGGTGCTGCAAGCTCCCAATAGGTTAGATTGAAATTAGAAACTTAGAGGATAGTAACATTTTATTCTCTAACTGTGTGTTTTTTAGAAAAAATGGCAAGAAGTAGTATTTCCTTTCCTTGCATTAATATTATATGTAGAATTTATCTTTCAGAATTAATGATCTCATTAACTATTATGTTTGTCCTGTTTTCAGGTGCTTATTTTGGTCAACCGTCATGTTTAGTGCTATAGACATAGTGTTCACCAAACTGTAATTTAGCCTTTTGTTATCTGTTTGCTTTGATTAATTCAAGTCTGCTAAAACTTGCATGTGATTTTGAGTAGTCTTCTTCAGGATCTGACTTCTTCGGTACTAATTTCAGGATGTGTGTATTGCTTATGGAGTTCAAGCTGTGCATGTTTCAGAACATCTGAAGTTTAAGTAAAAAAGCTTTTGTCGTGTGTTCCTGTTAATGTTTTGGGAAGAGAAACAGAGCAGATTTTCTTTATTGTCATGAACAGCAAACCTATTCAGTATTGATTTATCTAGGATTTCAGTTTGTATTTTGAAACTTTGTCAGCAATTCATAAACTTTACAGAGGACTTTGGTATGTTTTTCTGTAGGAAAAGTAATTTAAATCTATAGCCAAAGAAATGGAGCCTGTAGGCATTTGATTACTGTGTGTGCTGTCATCTGTTCTGTTCCTATTGTCCTCAGTGAAGAAGAGACTGCACGCAGCATGGTACTTGCTTTGTGTTTGTTTTGTTTTATTCAGGCCTAAGTTCTCTCTTAAAACCAGTGTTCAAGAAAGCCAACTGCTGCATGCATTGGCCATGTTAAATATAAATGCAAGTTACGTGCTTCTATCCAGCAAAAGGTTGTATTTTTAATGATAATGATTTTTAATGATAATTCCAAGGAAGATGGTTCTGGTCGTACCATTAAGATTTACCTGAACAATTCATAAGTAAAAAATTTAGTAAGGCGTGAGTGTCCTGTGAACAGCATAAATCTTATTAAAATATTGTAAATCAAATTACTGTAACTTGAGAGTAATTGATGAGTTTTCATTATGTGTTTTTATAGATAAGCAGTTCTCTAATAGTAACTACAGATGTCAGCAAGTTCTGAAAGGACGGAAATACTTAGTACTTGGGTCTGAAATTATATTTTTTTTTTCTGTGGACATGTGGACTATCAGGCGTGTGATAATGACCTACTTCTTAAATCGAAGCTATTTTTTTAATAGTTGGAATTTAACACACATTTGTATTTCTTTTCTTGTTTCTCCTCTCATCCCCCAAATAGATGTGCACGTTCTGTAGGGATTAGGACTCATTCAAGCACTGCACTGTTCTCTGAATTAAAACAGTGAATTAAATATTTTTTTAAACGGTCACCAACTTTGATGAAAAACATACCTGAAAAGTTTAACAGAAGCAACTGTTAAAAAATGCAGGACCTGTTCCATCTGATGAAAATATCAGTAGCCTTGAAAAGCAAAGAATGAAAATGAGCATCGGTGGTTGTGGCTGGTTGTCCTGCTCAGTGGGATCTTTCCCTCATCAGAGGCTGTGACCCCGAGCTTCCCTCAGTTTGTTTCTTCTCCTAGTGGTACCAGTGTTAGGTTGACTTTCTGCTTAGCAGGTTTCTTTAAAGTAGGTGGTGCTCGTAGGGAGTTCAGACAGATTCCGATGCACATAATGTTTGGTGAATTGCTGTCTTACACTTCTTCCTGTTTTTTAACTGAGAATGTGGGACCCATCTTTTTAGTAGTTTAGTAGTACAGAGTGTGGTTTTTCAAAAAGATCGTGCTTGTCAAAATGAAGCTTGACATGAACACTTGAGAATATAGTTTGTAGGTACAGGACTGTAAAAACCTTATTCTGGCAGTATACTTGTAAACATTTATTGTGCCTTGTTTGGTTTTATTTTGACCCTGACAGAGCCAACAGTGCGAGCAGAACTGATGGAACAGGTGCCTCATATTGCCATGTTCTGTCAAGAAAACAGACCTTCAATCCCGTATGCTTTTTCCAAATACTTACTGCCTATTGTGGTACGATACCTTGCAGACCAGAATAACCAGGTAAGTGTCTTTTACAAATAGTTTATTAGCCAGTTGAATATATCTGGTGTGAGGTTTTTCAATTTAAGTAATTTAGCATCATACAAGTGTGTAATATTTTGGGGTAGAAAGGTTTTGAATGATGTGAAATACACGGCACTCTGAACTTTAATGAAAGAAAACTTCCAACATTTTTTTCATCTGACTTGATCTGTTCTTATTTGGGGCCTTTTATCTGATATTGTAATCTTATGGACAAAATCAAACAGTCATTTTGATAAGCTTACATAATTTACATTCTGGCAAGAAGGAACAGCAGTTATAAAAAACTGACTTCGTGGTATAATTCAATTTTTAATGCAATTATGTATCTTCATAAACAGTGATTTGTATACCCATCCAATAAAGCTTTTGGATTGAACTTGTGTGGTTTGTTTTTCTGCATGTACAAGTTAGCTTGTCTAAGGCTTTCTCTAGGCTTTTCCATGTCATTTCAGACTAGACTAATCCTAGGTGATCATTATTTTAAGTATTTTAGGCCTCAGAGTTTGTCACTTCTTTTTCTTGCCCTTTCCAGATTTTCCATAATTAAAAATAGGTACCAGAACCTGTTTTTCTTAATCGTTGGTTTGCCAGTTCATGTGTAATACGACAACCATACTTCTGCTTGATATTCTCTTGCTAGCAGATCAGCAGTTCTGTTCATCACCCTAACCTCGGATGATACTCCACAGTTCATTTGGCTGGTTTGCTCCGAAACAAAGATCTCAAAGCTGTTTTCAAAATTGCTGCACTGCAGTATATAGTCTTTTGTTTTATGTAATGTTTTCTCTTCTGATGAACTTACTTTTTGAGAGGCAGGGGTTAGCCACATCTGAAGTCAATTATTAATGGTTATCTTATTTTGTACAGTCTTTTTTTTTTTTTGTTAGATGGGACTAAGCAAAATCGTCTCTCAGAATTTAAAATACTTTCAAAATAAATGCAGTTATTCATTGTCAGCCAAACTCGTTGATCTCAGAAAAAGAGGATTTGTTTAATAAAATTCACATTCCTTAGATCTTTGTTACTCCCAATTAGTTGTGTTTTTTTTCTTAAATGAGCTTTTCCACGACTACTTTTTTTGACGTTGCTGTCCTGTGTTTGGGGAAGTACATGGGGGGACACTTTTATAATAGCATTGCCTTAGTTTACAATATGTAGGTGTTCTTGGGTTCAAACATAGTTTGTTTCAAACATGAAGTGTTTGCAGAAGTGGTTTTGGAGCACTAGTCCTTTTGCCAAGTGCAATTGCTGTAGGTGTGTGGCCGTATATGAGTACAGCTTCCAAAATACAGGACACATATTTAGAAAAAAAACCCAAACCCCAAACTGTCTTCGAATTCCTTGGTTCACTTTTTGTCTTTATGATAGGTAAGAAAAACAAGCCAGGCAGCACTGTTAGTTCTGTTGGAGCAAGAACTTATAGAGAGATACGATGTGGAGACCAAAGTGTGCCCTGTTCTGATAGATCTGACAGCTCCAGACAGCAATGACGATGTGAAGACGGAAGCCGTGGCTGTGAGTAACAACAATACCAAATCACACAGTATAATGTTTGCTTGAATGCTTGATGTTGCAGTGATGGTAGTGTGTTTCCAAGATGCATGTCCGTGTGTTATTAAAGAGGAAAAATTAAATTGCTATCCATAACTGATCTGTAACTTTTTTTATGCTGTGTTACACTGAAGTCAAGGTTAGATTTAAATTCAATGGCTTATATATGCTGTAAAAATAAAAAAACAGGCTGGACAAGACAGCGGAGGAGTGATTTTATTGACTTCTAAAGCATCTGCTGTTGTTGGCTTTTTAGTTTTTTCATGTTTGTTTGTTTTATGGAAGCTTAAATTGCACATGTGGAAAATTTCCATCAGTGGGAAATCTTAAATGCTTGAATTCTGTCAGTCTTTGCTGTATATCTGTTCTCTTTATTGATTTTGGTTTGTTTTATTGGATGAAATAATAAGCTTCTGAGTTGATGAAGTCATGGTTGGTTTTTACATTAGACACAACCTTAATAATTGAAAAATAGTATGTATCAAATTAAAATAGTAAGCAAATTACTAAGTTAATTTAAAAAGGAGAAATGGCAGAAGATGTATGTCCTTATGTTTCCCTTGAATTTTTGCAATTTATGTTGATGCTTTTTGCTGGGTGATACTTATTTTTATTTTTTTAATTCTTTCTGGTTGAGGGAGACCTCATGAATGTTTTACTTCATAATGTGGCTGGACTTGTAGACAATAAGCACGCTGGGCATTATTTTATTTGGCACCAGATTTCTAGTACTTTCTTGAAGAAGCTTACTAATACATAAGGGAATAAAATTTAAAGCAGAATTGTTTTACCCATCTTCATTGTTTTGAAGATATTGAAACTTGAGAAAGGTTTCTGTAGCTTGACAAGCTCCTAGAGGTTAGAAAAATAATAAATTGTTGTTACAGGAAAATAAATTTTAAGTAGTCTACTGATGCAACTAGGAAAGTTAAACATAAAATTCTTTTAGATTACCTTTTTCTTAACAAAGAAAAAGTTGTAGTAAAAATCGGAACAAAGAGCAGTTAGAGGGGAAAAGCTGTCACTTTCTTTGGTATGATAATGCTTTTTCAGTAATTTATGTTAGGGAGTTGCATATGCGCAAGATGGAGTGTTGTGATTAATTTTTAAATCATACAGAAGTTATAGAAGTCACAGACATTAATTGTCAATAATTTTCTGTTCATTAAGTATTGGAATAGAAAAGAATCCTGTACTTGGTGGTTTTTTTTTTATTTTTGTAAGTATGGTGAGGTGTGAGAGAACTGAACTCTCAGAAATTACTCTCCTTTAGTTAGGAATTTGATTTAGTTTGAAAGACCAATGTCTTCTACAGCTGTGTTACATCATGACAAGGGGAGGGTAAAAGGAAAAAAAAGAATGCTTTTTGCAGAAGTGGCCAGACCTTTTCAATTCAAATCATGGATTTTTTTTCAATGTTTTTTCACAATTTTCAATAAAAGTATGTGCATCAATGAAAAGTAAATGTAAAAAGCCTCTGCTTAACTGACACGGAATTGTGTGTCGTGTAAGCATCCCTGATTAGTGTCTGTCTTGCCATTAGATAATGTGCAAAATGGCCTCCATGGTGGGAAAGGACATCACGGAAAGACTTGTTCTTCCTCGGTTTTGCGAGATGTGCTGTGACTGCAGAATGTTTCATGTTCGTAAGGTATGAATTATCAGCATCTGATCTGGATTACCTGTGAGAGGAATGTCATCAACTTGGAACTTGCATTTGTCTAAATGACTCTTTCCTGCTAGATCTCATCTGTGACACATATAAGTGAAAGCTATGCGGTTTCTTTGGTAGCTCGCATTTCCACAGATTTTATATTTGACACTAAGCTTTTTGCAGAGTCCCTACCTTTATTATCAGAAACAAAGAAAGAATCTGCTTGTTCTTATGATTGTGTAGGTGTCTATGAAAATGTGAACCAGCTGTAACTAATACGGCATCAGCCACCTGAGCTCATATCTCTGTGTGTAGATGGAATTAAAGATGCACATTAAGATGAAATAAACCAGTGCTCCATCATGGTATTTAGGTGCTGAGGCTGTGTTTTGGTTTCACCCTGACATTGCATAGCTTATTTACCTTCATAACTGCTTGTATTCTTTTATTTGACAGCACTTTGCATGTGTTTTATCCTCCTTCCCTTTCTCTGAAGTTCTGGGGTGGTTCTTTCATGATTAAAAAAGGCTGATTAAGCTTGAAATGAAGAAAACAATTTAAAATATTTTTTTTTAAGCCATGGGAACTGATGGAATGGGGAAGTGGCTGATACTGAGTTTGCACCAAAACCTGTTTTTATGATTTTAAAAGCTGTTTACATTTTTTTCTTTGATTTTGTTTGTTGTATTAAAGCTATGATCTTAGTGGTTATTTCTTGCATTTTGTCTGCAAGGTGTGTGCAGCCAATTTTGGAGATATCTGCAGTGTGGTTGGGCAGCAAGCCACTGAAGAAATGTTGGTAAGCCGTTTCTTAAAGGATTTTTCTTTTTAATAGAAGTCAGTAGTGGAGTTAGACAAGATACAGAGAAGGGCAGCTAAAATGATTACACAACTGCCATGTTCCCTTAGTAAGGAGAGACTAAAAAAGCTGTGACTCTTCAGTTTTGCTCATGTGAGGTTATGACTGACATTTGCAAAATGTTGAAGACAGTTACTATGAATATAGAACTCTTACTTGCCAAGTCACACAGTCCAGAGCTAAGGGGTACTCAGTTCTGGAGCTGGGACAAAGGTTTAAGCCAGACTGAAGAAAATACCTCGGGCCGTGGAGACAGAGTATTTGCGAGTTCAGAAGTACATTAGGCAAGAAGTAGACAGGAATACGTCTTCTAATCTGTAAATGCAATGAGAGATTACAGATCCAGGAGGAGCATGGGGGCTATAGATTGCTAGAAGGGGAGAGGCTTATGTGGTCTCTTTAATGGCACCACTTAATGTTGCTGCTCATTGATTTAATGTTTTAAAGACAGTTTTCCTGACTCTAACAAAGCCTCACAACCCTCCTGGGAAGGAGTGAAAGAGAAAGAAAGGCAGAGAAAATAAATGAATTTGGGCAATAACAAATGAAGTAAGGCGAAGAGATATAAAATTAAAATGGAAAAGCAGGGAGCTGGATGGAGCAGAGGATCCTTAACAGTGCCCACCGTTCCCCTGGCAGGTCCAAGGAGCTGGTGGATGTTGCTAAGCTTGGAGACGTGACAGGGCTAGGGAGCAGAAATCAACCTGACCGTCTTCGGGATTCTTCTTCAGGCTTTCTGGTTTTGAGGATGTGGACAGTGAGCTTATGGAGGGCCAGAGGAGGTTGATGAGTCAGTGCCATGAGTTAGCGAGGGATTTGTATGGAGAGAGTGTAAATGCAGGCATGACTTTAACAAGAGGCTCTCTAGCCTTTTGCAGATGTGGTATTGGGACAGGTACACCTAGCGTGACCTTCAGGGCATTTCTTACTTTGTTACAGTATTTGCTGCGTTTTTCCCTAGGTACTGTGTGATTCAAGCCATTTGATAATGAAGTATCATTGCACAGTTTTACATCCCATATGTTTCTTGATTGGGGGTGTAAATTGATTTCTCATGCAAATGCCCTCTTAGTGATACATGTAATGAATTTGGATTAAAACTTTGTAGAGGGTGCAATAATATAGAGCTGGACAATTGGGGATCTCTTTCCATAACAGAAAATACCATTTTCTGTTGGGATTATTTAAATATCCATTGGGGATTATTTAAAAAGAAAAAAAAAAGGAGGGGGGGGAAGCTGAATGGCTTTAGATAAAACTTCATTTTGTAACAAATGTAACATAGTTGATTATTTTTTTTTTAAATCAGAGGCAAAGTCCAGAAAACTTTGCTACAGAAAGCTAGAACAGCTGGACGTCTAACTGAGAACAGAGCTGTAGCAAGTTGTATTACTTGCGTTTTACCACTTTGCCTATTGAAAATGAAGGCAGCCATGTGATAACCTGCATGTCTTTGACTGCCTCACCTGCACTCTGTCCACCGTTTCATCGTTACCATTACTGTTTCCAAAAAACCCGAGCACCTGAGGAACTTCAAAATACTTCAGTTTTATTAGTGAAACCACTGCTCTGTTCAAACCTGTTTTCTCTTGCACCAAATGTAGTGGGTTTGTCATTCCCCTATTCCTCTATGCAGTTCAGGTCCTGCTTTGTAGGGTAGGTAGTGACAGAGATTGGTAAATCTAATGATGAGACATTTAGGTGGAAAAGAAAGGTTTTCTTTCTTTCTGAAGATGCTCTTCCTTTGCATTTCACTGAGAATCTTATAAAAATCTGAAGTGGTCTCTGATAACATTAATGCACCAGTGTTCTTTATGTTTTTTGTTTCTTGCAATGTTATCTGCTCTAAAAGAACCGTGTAGGAGGTTTTGTTTTATGATAGGTTTGGGCTTGGGGTATTTTTAGAATTGGGTTTTTTGGGCTGGTTTAAGATTTTTTTTTGGGGTGGGGTTTTTTTCCCCTCTATGTTTTGTTTTTTTGTTGGGTTTTTTTTTGGGTGGGGTGAGTTTGATGTAAATCAGGTTAGAAAGTTAGTACTTTCTTACTATTCTTCAGACAGGTGAATTGTCCTTATCTGTGCCCATAAGTAACATGAGAGCAACTTATTAGAAGGGTGGTGCTACTGAATGTGTGTTCTTTGTCGTGCAAATGTTAAACTAATGCATCTGAGTATGAGGGTAGAGAATAAGGTGAAGGAAATTAATGTGAAAAAAGAACCTTCTTTGAAACAAGTACTACCTGTTAAGACTTGAAAACTTACTCACTGTGTTCTTAACAGCTGCCAAGATTTTTCCAGCTCTGCTCTGATAACGTGTGGGGAGTTAGGAAAGCCTGTGCTGAATGCTTCATGGCAGTTTCTTGTGCAACATCACAGGAAGTCCGGAGGACAAAATTGTCAACCCTTTTTATTAATTTGATTAGTGATCCTTCACGATGGGTAAGAATTGCTTTTTATTTCTTGAATGGTTGTCATATGTAAAGGATTTTACTACAATACTCTGTATAGAACTTCTCCCCATAGGTATGGATAACATAACTTGTTTCACACACCTCAAGCAAATTCTTCTTAAACTGCTTAGTTTGTCAATGGGTGCAGAGTCTCTCACATTTTCACTGCCACATGTAAGAAAAATAGTGTCAGTGGGATAGCTTTCCTTAGCTACAGAACTCCCTGTTACTTAACATTGCTGAAAATCATTAACAAAACTGGAAAATCAGATGTGATTTATTTGTATTTCTTCAGGTTCCCTACCACGCAGTGGAGTGGGGTGGCAGTGTGTGTTGTTGTTCTGGGGTTTGTTTGGCTGGGTTTTTGTGGATTTTTTTGGTCTTTGGGGGTTGTGGGTGTAGTTTTTTTGGAGGTTTTTTTTTGATCTTGAAGATCTACTCTTCAAACCTTGTTAAGTTTTTGTTACTGAGCAGACTGCTTCCGAGAGCCAAAAGTAGATGTTCTGCACAGGAGCATGAGCTCTTGGATCCTGGAAAGTCATGCAAGTTGTAGCCCAGCAGAATTAACCAAATAATAAAAATGGTGGTAGATAAGATAATCGTTGAGAAGGGGAGAATAAATAGTAGGAGAAAGAAGGAGCAAATGAACAACATAGCCAAATAGGAAAGGTAAAGAAATGCAGAGCTTATCATCAGTCAAACTTATGGTAGTGAAATGTGTGTTCACTGTATGTAACTTTTTCCTTTTAAGCTGTTAAAATTCTCAATTGATCTTTCAAATTTATCTGCTTCTACTGTCTAAATAATTGTGATTTCTTTGGTTGTGGGGAATAGGCCTGTCAACGTAGTTACCCATGTAGTCACCTGTAACTTAACTGCTTTTACTGTGCTTTTTTCTTAACTATTTTTTCACTATGACCCTTCCAGTCCCTAGTAGCAGGTATTTATGTTTTATAGGACAGCAAGCTTTATATATATAAATAATTTTTTTTTTCACCTTGGACCCTTTCACTAGGTCCGCCAAGCAGCTTTTCAGTCTTTGGGGCCTTTCATATCAACTTTTGCTAATCCATCCAGCAGTGGCCAGTACTTTAAAGAAGAAGATGGTAAAAACCCAGAAGATTGTGGTTCTGCACAGGAAAACAGGTGAAGAATTTGCTAAATCTACAAATTATTTTTTTCCTCCTTATTTTTCTGTATGAACTGCAAGTTAAGAAAAATAACTTTCCTTTATAAATTGAGTATTTATCTTGGTAAATGGAAAGATATGGAACTTCTCTCTTACTTAGACTACCAGAATTTTCAGTAATTTACCAAAAATACATGACTATTCAGTAACTTAGGATACATTAGGATATTCTGTGATGAAATGACTGACCTGATAGACAAGGGAGAGCAGTGGATGTAGTCTACCTAGATTTCAATAAGGCTTTTGGCGTGGTCTCTCATAAGATCCTCATAGAGAAGCTGATGAAGTGTGGGCTGAAGAAGCAGACAGCGAGGTGGGTTGACAGCTGGCTGAATGGTCAGGCCCAGAGGGTGCTGATCAGTGGCACGTAGCTGGAGGCCAATTAACTGGGTGTGTACCTTAGGGGTCAATATTGGATCCAGTCCTGTTTAACATATTCATTAATGATCTGGATGGTGGAGCAGGGCGTACCCTTAGCAAGTTTGTTGATGACACAAAACTGGGAGGAGTGGCTGATGTTCCAGAGGGTCATGCTGCCATCCAGAGGGGCCTCAATAGGCTGGAGAAATGGTCTGGCAGGAACCTCGTGTAGTTCACAACATGGAGAAGTGCAAAGTCCTGCACCTCCGTAGGAGGAACAACCCCAGGCACCAATACATGCTGGGGTCTGACTGAATGGAGAGCGGGTTTGCAGAGAAGGCCCTAAGGGTCATGGCAAACACCAGGTCAACCATGAGGTAGCAATGTGCCCTTGCAGTAAAGGCCAATGTTATCCTGGGCTGCATTCGGAGTAGTGTTGCCAGCAGGTCAAGGGAGGTGATCCTCCTCCTCTGCTCAGCACTGGTAAGGCCACAGATGGAGGGCTGGGTCCAGTTCTGGGCTCCCCATTATAAAAGACATGTAGGCATACTGGAGAGAGCCCAGTGAAGGGCCACAAAGATGATGAAGGGACTGGAACATCTCTCCTATGAGGAAAGGTTGAGAGAGCTGGGACTGCTCCGCCTGGAGAAGTGAAGGCTCAGATGGTATCTTATCGATGTGTGCAAATACCTGAAGGGAGGGTGGAAAGAGGACAGAGCCAGGCTCTTGTCAGTGGTGCCCAGTGACAGGACCAGAGGCAATGGGCACAACCTGAAACACAGCAGGTTCCCTCTGAACATCAGGAAACAGTTTTTTCCCTGTGGGGGTGACTGAGCACTGGCACAGGTTGTCCAGGGAGACTGAGGAGTCTCTGTCCTCCAAAATATTCAAAGCCATTTGGACACAATCCTGAGCAACTGGTTCTGGGTGGCCCTGCTTGGGCAGGAGCTTTGGCCCAGATGACCGCCAGAGGTCCCTTCCAAACTCAACCATTCTGTAATCCTGTGATTTATTTTGCTATGCTGTAAGTAAATCTAGTTTGATAAGTAGCAAGCTGATAGCACGTGTGTGAATTTTCAAGAGCATCTGTCTTCAACTAGTATATTTTGGTTTTTAAATGTTCATTTGCTTTGGCACTCAACAGTGAACAAGTCAGGACTACAGAAGATGTCTCAACAGAGGGTGAGCACAACAGAACAGAGGATCTGTCTTCACATGTTGATAATGATGAATTTGCAACAAAACTTGAAAATGCCATGGAAGATCAAAATGTAGTATCAAATAACTCCCAAAGGAAAAGTGATTTCCAGACTGAGTCATCCTTCCAT